GACCGTGGTGAAGCGAATTTTGTCCCTGCTGGCAGTCCACGGGTGAGACCTTCGCTTGGAGTCGTGCTCTGAGAGTGGAAAGGGATCTTTTTCCTTCTTCCCTCCTGGACTTTTATTCGGAGGGCAGAAGAGATTTGATCCATTGCAAATACTTACGTCATGGTAGAGATAGCTAAGATTGTATATAATGTATTGTAGTATTTATTTGTACAGTCATTGTAATATATATTCCCTTTCCCCCATTTTAAGTCTCGTGTGGTTGTCTGGAAAAAACCATCTCACATTGGGTTGAGATGTGGGAGGGGGCTAGGACTAGGGAATTGGATTTTTGGGGCTCTCAAACCATGACACTACCTTTTCCAGTGAACTTCTTTCTAAGAGCCTCATTGAATAACTGCTCACGAATAAATGAAGGTTAATCAAACTGTCCTACACAGGCTTGAGGCTTACCCACCAGTAATTTTATATTTAAGATTTTATCTTCAGTCAAGATTTTAAGCAAAAATTCCAATTAATCTAATAGAAACCCAGCATCTGATACACAGTTTTGCATGGCTGACTAGGCACACTGAACCAGACTTGGCTTCAGTTAAGACAACTGATATTATCATACAAAACAGTGAAAGTAGCAGCCTGTACTTACAGCAAGTGATAAAGAGATGTTTCAAATTAGTTGTTGACTTTTTTTTCTTTAAAGAAACTAATAAATGCAGACTCTCCCCCCAGCTGTGGATCTAATAAATCTGAAACACTGTTCAAACTCTGTAGAGCTGGTAGAAGAGAGTGACAACAGCTTTTCCTTCCAACTTGCTTCTTCATTGACATGCTAAGGATATGTGAAAGAAACAAAACAAAATAAAATAAAACAAAACAAAACCACCAAAAGAAGCAACAAGAAAACAAAGCAAAACAAAACCAACACAAAACCCCAAGAACGACTGGCACCATAATGATTGTATTTGCCTTAATTACAGTCAGTAAAAGATGCTTTTACTTCTACTTCATTTTGTCAGGGATCAATGACAATTAGCCCTTAAAAATAGTTATACTAAAAAAATAATAGAATTAGAAAGCATAGGAGTGTACCTCTATCTCAAATAGGTTTAGCCTAAATCTGGCATGCTCTGCTCCTTGAAAATAGGATTGTTTCAAGTTCTTTATCCTTCACTCTAAAAACTGCTGCACTCAGTATACCAATTTTGACTTTAGACTCATAAACAGTATTTGATCCTCAACAGTGTTCACCAGAAGGAATCTCATTTAAAAGTCCCAGCGCTGCCATCCACCCCTCAATTCCAAGCCACAGCGTATCTTTTCTGCCTGATACATTTTTATGCAAAATATTTTTTTAATTATTGCATGTAATGTAGACTATATTCTTTAATTTTTTAGCTTTCAAAAAAGGCATTAAAAAGTTGATTTTGGAAACTTTTGAATTAAAGGAAAAAAAAACAAAACCCACTCTCTTTCTTCAAGTGTTAAGGAAAATCTCCCTTTGAGTAACCTCAGAACTTTTGAAGGAGAATTGAGGCTTTTGAAGCAGTATCATTTCAGGCTGCAGAATAAGCCTCACTGATTATTTACTGTAGTGCATAGCTGCTGAAGTTATATGTGTTGAATGGTGACCTCTGGAGCATGGTACACTAGAAAAAGGGTTGCAGCTATAAAGGGTTATTATTAATTCCCCAGTGGAACATTCCACCTAAAATACCACAGGAAAAAAAGAGCTTAACAGTAACATTGTGACAAATTTCATACTGAGTCAAGGCCACATTAGCCAGTAGGAAGTAGAAATTCCACTCTAGGCTGACCAGAGCACACTGTTTTGACCTGCACTGGCAATTACATCTTGCTACTCTGGTAACTTTATGGCCTTTTAACTCAAAGGTTTTCAGCATCCAACCCAGTCTCCATTGTGGCCTTGTTGGGAAAAGTGGAGGATAAGGAAAGGGAAGTAAGGCCAAACAGGTCTGCCTTTCTAGAAAGATAGTCTGTGGTGCTTTGTGTGTGATTGGAGTGACTATCAGCAAAACCAGGCTCGAGGGAAAAAGAACCATATGCTGTGAACCACAAAAGGATCTGAAGGAGCCTCAAGACCTTTACCCAGGAGGTGTACAGTTGCCACCCCTCCCCCCCAGTCTGTCAGGTACTGTAACTCACAGTCAAAACCAGCATTTCCAAGTCAAATATTGTCAATTTTTTCCATATTTGACTAGAAAAGAAGAGCCTGAATAACGTTGTTTTGTATATGCTTACAAAAAGTTTGCCTCAAGTCTGAAACAAGCAAACAAAAAAAAAAGCATAGATAGGTCTATCCAAAATTCAGTGAGTGGGCTGCGGAATTTGCCATCATAGCACAACCAGAAAAAAACAGCTTGATGGATGACACTTGGTTTTCTAAGCTTCTAGTATGTTCCATTTTTTGCATTTTTTTACTACTGCAGCAAATATAAATTACTTTTCTACATGTTAAAGGCATCTTTGGCCATGCAGCAAAGCTAAAGAACAATAAATAAGAAAGAGGTCTGAAATAAGAAGTTGTGACTGATATGCAGTAAAAGAGAAAAAAAAACACAGAAAGGAACCACAATTTTTACCTGGTATTGTTCTTAAATTGATTAAATCTGCACAATGTCACAAAGAAAACTGCAGAGGGGAAAGTAACAGATTAAGACGATTAAGACGATTAAGGAAAACAGTGAAAATGCTAGAGACAAACCTCAGGAAGGTAGTTCACTGTCACGCTCTGGATTACAGAACACAGCTGAAAGCATGAATAAGATACAGACAGGGTAGTAATACTTCACAAATAGTCATTTTACTGGTGGTTTAATGTGCATACACAGACTGGAAGTCAAATGGGAAGAGATGCGTAACTGAATTCTCCTTGCTTACCAAGAGCAATGAGTTCAGATGCGAAAGTCAGTCAGTCATTGAAGTGATGAAGAACAGCAGAGGTCAAGGCTTTTGGAACTAAAATATGTTTATGCTTAAGGCATGAAGGAAAAAGAGGGAAACTGGGTGGCAGGAGGAAGAAGAGGCAAATCGAAGATTGTGACATGAAACTTTTAAGTATGAAGTAGGTGAAGAGACCAACTTGAAAGGTAAGGGTGATATGGGCAACTCACTGGCATCCCCCTCCCTTAATAGGCCTAATTGTCATGATACGTCTAGACAGGCATGCTGAGAACCCTGGCTACCTTATTTGCTTCCTTTGCAGTCTGACATCCCATACATTATAAGCTACCTGCAAGTCATTCTACAATATCGTGCAAGCTTAAAATTAAAAAAAAAATGAGATATGCTGACAGTGTGTTACTCAATGCTAAACTGAAATTCCCAGTGATCATTAAAATAACAGCATAGTATCACAGAATTATGTTTGAAGGGATATTAAATATCACTAGTTCCAATCTTCCTGCCATGGGCAGGGACACCTTCCAAAAGATCAGGTTGCTGAAAGCCCTGTCCAACCTGGCCTTGAACACTGCTAGGGATGGAGCACCCACAATTTCTCTGGGCAATCTATTTCAGTGCCCCACTACCCACTGAATAAAGAATTCCTTCCTAATATCTAATTTGAATCTCTCCTCTTTTATTTTAAAGCCACTCCCTCTTGGCCCATCACTACATGCCTTTGTAAACACTCCCTCTCTAGCTTTCTTCTTGGCCCTGTTTAGTTACTGAAAGGTGCCTAAAAGGTCTCCACAGAATATGTTGATATCTTGATTTGTGTGATTTATAAATTACCCCTCAAGATTAACATTACCATTTTGGCTATCAACTCTCAAAATATCCATTCTCTTCCTCTTTTTGCTTAGCATTCTTCTTCTTTAAAAACACTTATGAACCCACACACCTTTTACTTATATCTATCCATCTATATATGTGACATTGCACAGGGACTGAAGGTATGGCATTACAGCCGTTCACACAGATTGAGATTGATTTGTTTGCTGTAAACGGTTGAGTTCCAAGACTGTTGCACAAAGTTATCTCAACACATTGCCAGAAAAATCCTCATCCCAACATGATCAAATTTTATCCTGTGTTCAAATAAGCTTAGTGGCAGGAGTTGTGGAAAGAACTGCTACTGAAAAGAGTATTTTAGGACCTCACATAACAATTATTCCCTAGTAAAAATGGAAGCTAACTGTGGCTGCAAATCTGAGGTACCCTGTGTTGTCAAGATCGTATGTGCTGAGTGTTCACTAGGTGCTCACTTGCTTGCAAAGAGCATTCTTTTTGTTTGTCTTAAAAAATTAAGCCAGTTTTATGGCATCATCAAAAAATAAATTTATTGAGATGGTGGCATACAAAGGAGGACAAGCACCTGCATTAAGACAGTAAACAAGTTAAAAGTTCCAAACTACGTACACCTTAGTCCCATCACAGATCACTAGCAAAAAAAAAGAGAAATCGTTCCAACAAATTATAAGTAGTTGTTCAAGAATTAGTGTGCATCATCTGTAGCCTGTTTGGAACTAATTAAGTCTCTGAAGATTGAAGTCCAGAAATCAAGTCCCTGAATTCTGGGCCAAATTTCCAGCCCCAAAATATCCCGTGTCTCCTTAGGTATTAGTCATCAGCAGGAAACAGGTGCGATGCAGAAAATGCACTTACAAAGGTGAGAGATAAGTGCATTCTTTCGTTTATTGGTACTCCAGCTTTCAGTACTTCTAACGAGCTGACAGAGGAACGGAAGCCAACAGCGAGTCACTGGCGAACTGCCACGCTGCGAGGGAAGGAACCGGCAAGTTCCTCATTCTACGCCGCTCCGCCGAGCAGCCTCCTGCCCTCCCGGCACCGCAGCCCCCGCTGCCGCCCGGCCCCGCCGGGGGATGGATGCGAGGCGGCGGCTGCTCCCGGGTCAGGCAGCGCCTCTCCCAGGGCGGGCCGGCAGGGCAGGGGGAGCGCAGCGCCGTCCCCATCCCGGCCGGTGCCGCCGAGCGGGAGGCGGCGGGAGCGTGAGGGCTGCCGGCCGGCGCCCGGCTACTCACCATCTCCTGCTCAGGAGCTGAAGTTTCGCCTCCAGACGGGGCCAGGGCGGCGGCGCGGCGGTGCCGGGGGGCCGCGGCGGCGGGGCGGGCCGCGAGCTCCTCCCCGCGCAGGCGGCCGGCGCCAGGCTCTCGGGCACTTTGCGCCCAGTTTCTGCTCGACGTCGCGGAAGGTCAGGCGGCTCCATGCTTGCCGGCAGGGGCCTACGGCGGCGGCGGCGGCAGCGCCGGCTCTACCCGCGTCCGTCCGGCCGCTGCCGGGGCGCGGAGGCGCGAGACCCACGGCGGCCGCGCCGCGCGGGGGACCGCCGCGGGCTCGGGGCATCTCCCGGGCGCACCAGCCCCTGCCGCCCCCTCCCCGGCCCTGCTCTGCCGCCGCGGGGAAAGGCGACGGCGGGCAGGCGGGGGCGACGGGGGAAAACGGCTCTGCTCCCGTGTGCGAGACCGCGAAGCACCCCGACAGCCGCCGGCCTGGGCAGCGCGACCCGAGTCATCGCGTCCGCCCGCTGCAACTTTAAAGCCGCTGGCAGGTGGAAGAGGCGGGCGCGGCCTCCCACCGCGGTGCCCGGAGAAGAGGCGCGGCGCGGCGCGGGGGCGCCCCCCACGGCGGGGACTGCGCCAGGCGCCCGGGACAGCGCTCGGGAACTGCGTGTGCCCTCGGCGGAGAGAGGAGAGATGGAGGAGTGGAGAAAGGGAAGGAAAAGGAAAAAAAAAAAAGAGCAAAAGAAAAAAAAAAGGGGGGGAGCGAAGGGAAAATAAAGGAAAAGAGAAAATGAAGGAAAAGAGAAAGGGAAAAAGTGGAAAAAAAAAAAACCACAAAAGAAAATTAACTAGTCTCCCGTTCTAACTGGGATAGGAGCATAAGTACAGTGCAAATGATATTCCCACTCGTCAAACAGGTTTTATTGCAGACAAGCTGATTCCTCCCCAAAACTCTTGTTATTTTTAATATTTTTTTACCCTCGTCCTCTTTAAGAAGTAAAGCTTGCGACCTGAGCCAGTTGCTCTGATAGCAAGGCAAGTCTTGGCTGTGTAGATAGCAGTGCTGGATGTGTCCTGTAGCTAGCTGTCCCATGGTGCTGCTGCATATACCTGTCACAGCACTGAAAATCCTTTTAGGCACAAAGGTGTGAATAGCCACATCCGTGGAACTGCAGCTGACACATGTCAAGGAGGCTGAGAGGGTAAGGCCACCAACCCTGAGTGCCAGGTCCTTCACAGCATCTAGAATCACAAAAAGTAGTGTGGTCAGCTTGGGAAAGCAAAATGTTGTTACAGCAAACTGGATGCTCTCTGCAAAATAATTTCATCAGTACTTTAAAATCTGAGATTTATTGATCAGAGAACTTTGCAAGGATTTAGTACAGTCAAGCAAAAAATTCACAGACATATCTGATAATCTTAGAGGTGCATTGATTTTAGACCAGGACCCTTATTGTGTCACTATAATCATCTGGAAGTCCTTTGTGTGAGACATATGCAAAGACATTTTTCTCTTTCATATTCGCAAGTTCTGATGACAAAAAGTCCATCAATATTTTTTAGAAAAGAAAGCCAAAGGCAACCACACACACAAAATCACTGCCACCAGTACCAAATATGTCTTACAGTTATATGGATATTTAGAGACCAGTTTCTATATAATCTCAAATTGTTTATACCATTCTGTAGATTAGTAAGAATCCCACTGAAATTCTTTCTCAGTGATCTATGAATGCCTTGTTAAGTAAAAGTCCAAGTTTCTGTCATTATTTTTGTTAGGACATTGAACTATTAAAGGACAATTTTTTGTTATACAAGAAGCATTAAAAAAGTAATAATTCAACTCTGTTCAAACTTCCTTTTTGAAGACATTTTTTTAAAAATCTGAAAAATTAATATTAGTTTTCAAAAATATTTCAAGTTACCTGAATAATCAAACTTCTTATAATGAAAATATAAGAAGAAATAGTCCAAAGTTTTATGCTAGTTTAAAAAAAAGTGGTCATAGTAATAAAAAGTTCCCCAAATTCTACTGTAAATAACCTAAAAATAATGAAAATAAACCATTTCTGTTATTCTTTATAAACAACATTCAGAAAGTTAAATACATAATGTACCCTATGGGTTCATGAATTTATTCTTCACCATCTGGTGGCCTGATTCTTACCTCTCACTGGCCCTGCACAGTGTAACAGTTAGCAAGTCCATGGGTATACTTTTGAATTACAAAGATAAAAAGACATGCCTATTTACGGTCACCTTGCTAAATCTCTAGGGTTGTCAGATTTGTTAAATTAATAAGTGTTTCGAGGAAACAGGTTTCTCTGTAAACAAACAAAAACAGTTTTTACAACAGTTTACTGTTGTAAACAAATTGCATTTTTGTCCTGTCGGTCAGACCTTCTCTCTTCATTTTACAATCTTAAAATGTGCTACATTGGAAGGGGATCATCTAGTTCAACTCCCTGCTCCTTGCAGGACTATCTAAAACTAAACTGTATGATAGGGCATCATCCAGACAGCCCTTGGCCTCTCACAAGCTTGGTGCTGTGACCTCTTCTCTGTGGAGCCTGTTCCAGTGACCAAAAACTCTCCTGACAAAGAACATTTTCCCAGTGTTCAACAGGAATTTCCCCCGATGAATCTTCACTCTGTTTCCTCGTGTCCTGTTGCTGGTTGTCAGAGAGACCAGATCCTTCTCCATCACCCTCCATGAGGAAGCTGTAGTGTCTGGTAAGGACAACCCACAACCTTATCTTCTCAAGGTGAACAAAGAGTGACCTCGTATGCCTTGTCCTCAAGGCCTTTCACCACCTTGGTCACCCTCCTCTGGATACGCTCTAATAGTCTGATGTCCTTCTTTTACTGAGGCACCTGCAGCTGCACACAGGACTTGATATGGGCTGCACCAGCACACTGTAGAGTGGGACGATCACCTCCCTCGACTGGCTGATGATGCTGTGCTTGATGCACCACAGGACAGGTCTGGCTCTTTTGGCCACCAGGACATATAATTGACTCTTATCCAACTTGCCACCTACCCAAACCAAGGAATCTCTTTGACATTTCTCTCTGGTCTCTCCACCAATTACGTGTAACCAGGATTACTCTGTCCCAGGCAGAGAATCTGGCACTTACTCTTGTCAAATTTCATGCTGTGGGTGATTGCCCAGCTCTCTAGTTTATCCTCATCTCTCTGTAAGGCCTCTCTACCCTGGAGGGAGTTTGCAGTTCCCCCTATTTTAGTATAATTGGCAAACTTAATATACATTTAATTCCTGCATCCGGGTAATTTATAAAACTACTGAAGAGCACTACCCTAAAATTGAGCCCTGGGGAACCCCACTGGTGACTGGTTGCCAGCCTGAAATAACCCCACTTACTGACCTATCAGCCAATTGCTCGCCCAATATATTATAAACTTGACTAGCTGTGTGCTGGACATTTCGTCCAGAAGGACACTGTGAGAGACTGTATCAAAAGCTTTGTTAAAATCGAAGAGCCCACATCTGCTGCCTTTCCATGGACAAATAGATGGGTGACTTTGTCATAAAAGGAAATTAATTTAGCGAAGCAGGACTTTTCCCTCATGAATCAGTGCTGGCTGTCACCAGTGACTGTATTGTATCTTAAGTGTTTTTCACTAACTCCCAGAAAAAATTTATCCATAATTTTACAAGTCACTGAAGTGAGACTGACAGACCTGTAATTACCAGTCTTCCTTCCTAAAATTTTTGAAAATTGGGAGATCATTTGCTGTGCTTCCAGTTGACTAGGACCTCTCTAGATTCACAATACTGTTGAAAAATAGTGGAGAGAGGTTCTACAATGACATTGGCCAGCTTTTTCACTATACTGGCAGGGTCTCAGTGGTTCTCATAAATTTATATGCATGTAGCTGAAACAGTAAGGCCCAAAAAAATTCAGAGTCAGCTGGGATTTTATAATTTCTCCAATTACAGTCTTCCAAAACAGAGCTCAGGACTCAATGGTATTAAAGAAAGAGGAAAAAAAGGCACTAAATGCCTCTCCTTTGTCCACATCTTGTTTTTGAGGTGACTGACCTAATAGAATAACGGATGACTATTATCTCTGGTTCTTCTTTTTTAGTTAACATATTTAACAAAGAAACTTCTTTTGTTGTCCTTCACAGTGCTGTTGAGTTTGGACCTTAATTGAGCTTTGGCCACATGAATTTACTCTCTACAGTGTGAACAGTATTTCTCTTGTCCTTTTGTGTTACCCTGTTTTCTTCAGCCCTGTGCTGTCTAATCTTTATCTGAGATTCAGAGCTTTCTGAATCTCTTACTTTGAATCTCTGAATAAGGTCATTTAGATCAGTCTTTACTAGCTTATTTGTTTGTTTGTTTGTTTTTAAGTCCAGATAGACATATTCACCAATTTTAACACCTTGTTAAAGCCTCCTATCAACCCCTTCATTCTTTCTGTAGCCAGAAGTCTTGATATTTCAGTCCAACAAAGTGTGAATTCTTGTGTGTATAAAAGATGAAGCTGTTCAGCTTCTTGTTGGACAAGCTCTCTGTTGTCACACCATCTCATATGCATCCCCTTCAGGGTGTAAGAGTGAAGGAATAAAAGTTTCTTCACATGACTTTACTGAGCATGACCTTTGACTTGCCTTAGGCCAAACCATGATTTTACATAAAAAATTGGAGAGTGGATGTTATGTTAAACATTTTGAAAGTAAAATGAAATTAATTCACTGTTTAATTTTTCTTGATGCCTTAGACCTTTGAGGTCCAGAACATGGTGCTGTCTTTGTCCAGGAGGGTGAAAATACTGTAAAAAACCCATAGTGCCATCATGAGACACACATGTATTTCTGAAGATCACATCGTGACCTTGATTTTATGAACTTCAGGCATGTAGTTTAATCGGGTAACTACTTTCAAGCCTGTAAGATGGGAACCTCATTTTAATGATAGTTCTTTGCAAATTTAGCTCTTGAGTGATTGTTGAAGATAAACACATGGGTAATAAGAGGACAAAAGTCATGAAACAGGACAACGGGCAGCTTGAGAAGAGGCTTAAAGTCTTGTTCTCAATGTACGTCTTTTTTTTGCTTTCCACAAAAGATGCATGTTGAGGAGTGCTAGACTTCAAAATGGAAAGAAATAACAAAATAAAAGCAAATTTATTTACAGGGATGATATACTTAAGGGACGTTATACTTAGGGGATGAGAC